ATTAAAACTATTTTAGAAAACTTGATATTTATGCATACATTTACTCTTGGAAAATGTTCTTAATGGAATTTTTAGAATTGAGAATTATTTTTTTGTCATAGAAAAAAACTATGTGGTGCCTTAGTTATAAAATTCCTATACTAGTTGAAAATCTTGGATTGTTAGTATAATGAGACAAACAATAGATATTGCAGTGTATCTTTTTTTTTTTTTACATATCTGAAAGAACACGGCATTTAGCTAGATACTGTGTTTGTCTTTCTATTTAGATAGGGAGAAAAATATAAAGATACAACAAAAGAAAATATTATTAGGAATGTATAGAATCTATATTTTATAAGCCTCATAAAATTAAGCAGGCAAAAATGTATAAAATTCTTTGAAATGACAGTGTTGCATAAAAAAAAGAAACACTTCACCTCAAAATTTTACCTCTGTTGAACTGCTTTCAAGTATATAAGTTGACTGATAATCAGAAGCATTATAAAGACAAATGTGTGAAGGATATTAATTATATATATATTTTTATGAAGATCTCAATTAAAAATCCCTACTCTTTACTCTCACAGTAATTTTTTAAAAAGATTTATTTATTCACACAGAACTGGGGTACAGACCAGAGGGGTAAGGGTGTTGAGAAGATTCACCAGAGCCAGAGTGGGGAACAGAATAGGCAGACTGACTGAAATACATGGCTGAGGGGAACAATGGGTGGTGAGAGACAGGAGAGGTCACCTACAGGGTGGGGGATCAAATTTGCACTGATGGGGCTGTGGCCAGCTTGCAGTGCTGTGTCCTAATCCACTGTACCACCAGGGAGGGCCACAGTAAATTTTTGATGTAAGTATAAAATACTGTTTGGAAAAATCAATTTATACAACTCAAAAAAATAATAAAAACAAAGAATGGATTTCCTCCATATTTGATCCAAGACTGGATAGGATTTCAAAATTTTAAAGATTTAGTTGTTTGTGAACACCAATAACTGATTGTGGAGTATTCTTATTTACCTGTATTTTGGGATCTTATGTGGTATAATGTGAACATATTAATTCCTAGACCTCATTATAGAAATTCACTAGGATTATTTCTTTTCAGGCATAATTCAAGAAAAGCTAAAAAGAATACTGTAATCCAAAGAGAAAGAGTTTCTTTGTTTTGGCCTTGTCTCTCCTAAAATACATTGAAAATATAAGAATCTGGAGTGGAAAACATTTATATGGTTTTTTCATATAAAATGTAAAGCTTGGCCCTCCCTGGTGGCGCAGCGGGTTAAAGCACAGCACTGAGAATCTAAAGCCGCTTCTGCATCAGTTCGATTCCCGCCTGCCCCGGAGGTGACCACATGGCGTGGCAGACCTCTCCTGACCCGCCCGCTGCTCCCCTCAGCAGTGTACTTCGTCGATCTGCCTGTTCTGCTCCCCACTCTGTCTCTGGTGAAGCCTCTCACTGCCCCTGAGCCTCTGGCCTGTACCCCCGTTCTGTATGCACAAATAAATAAATCTTTAAAAAAAAAAATGTAAAGCTCAAGTCCACAGACACTTTGTCCATAGTAGTTACTTAACAGGTGGGATATTATGTTTTAAATCCACATATATCTCATCACTTTGATGCCTCCTGAAATTCAAGTTCAGTGGCCCCTGAAGTGTGAAGCCTGGAACAGCAGCATCCTCATTACCTGGAAACTTATTACAATGTTAACTTGCTGTTCCCTCCCTAGATCCACTAAACTTGCTGAAACAGACTTAAGGCACTGAATGCCCGATGATTTTTTTGAGTCTCCAAACCGCCCAGCATTGCCTGACTCTAGACTTAGTCAATAAACTTTTATGTGGTTAAGCAGTGATATTTTAGGGTATTTTTCTTAAATGGAGCTGTATCTGAGTCTAATCTGATGTAGGGGGAGAAGAAGGATTGATGGAAATTAATTATTTACCAAAATCATGATTCAATAAGCTTAATCTGATTTGGGAAATCATTTTCTATTGTCTAAGTTTCCAGAAGTGGTTAGTCATGAGGATAATTCAATGTACTTTTAAATGATCTCAAAGAAAAGTAAAGAAATAATTAGTTCCTGGAAATTAAGACAGGTATCCCTTTTGTTAGTCACTTTTCCATTCTTTGACTTTGCAGGAAGCTGTGGATCTAGGAGTAAGGCAACATGAATTCTCCCATGACCCTGCTGGTGATATTTGTGAAGTCATCAATTTCAATCCTTTCAGCTATAAATAGGACCTTATTCACTAGTTTTATCAGACAAACTTCGATGTTTTTGATGGAAGGGTGATGTTTTATTCATCACTGGATTTTCTCTTACATTTGTGCTTACCATGTCTTTCTGTTGTGAGTTACTTTTATTTTTAGTATATATTCATGACATTTAATCTATAATTAATGTATTAAATAAAAAATTTAATGATATAACGAAAGAGACACATTTTAAGATTTTGCACCTTATTTCCACTCTTCATCATTGGTTTCTATGAATTGTGTAATCAGTTTGATGCATTTCCTTATGCTGGAGAAAATGGATATTTGGTTGCATTTTAATAGTATGAGGGAGTTGCTATTTTTAACTTAATATAAAGATAAGTAATATAAATAAAATGTCTTTTTCTTTTAATTAATCTAATGACTTCCATCACAATCCAAACTTTTTTATGCCTATCTGAAAATACTTCCAAATGAGTAAAGTTGAGGTTAAAAAGCAGAAAGTGGCAGAGCTTTCAGCATGCAACAAATAAGACAACTTTTCACTATATGACAAATGGAAATTCGATATGCTAATCACCCAAGTTTGCTTTCTGCTGTTCTACACTAGAGGTTATGTAAAAAGATAATTTTAAAATGATCTAGCAATTGGCTAGAACTTGCTTTAGGCTACTTGGTAAAGGGGAAAAAAGTGACTTAAACAAATAAGAACTTGTTTTCTATAATTAAAAAAGAATCTTAGTGCAAACATTGTGATACTATCAGTGTTCCAAGAGTTTTTTTCTTTTCTGCTCATCACAAGATCCTTAATGCAACCACCACAGCTGCATCTATAATGGAAAGAAAAAGGCCAGAAGAAGTCTATCTTATAGGGATCATTTCCAGGTATGTCTAGCAAATTTTGCTTATATAACCATGGAGAACATGTCACCCCTATCTGTAAGAGAGAGTGAGAAATATGGTTTTTCTGCTCGTGAGAGTGTTTAAGGTATAATCTCTTAGCAAATTTCAAGTACACAACACATTATTATTAATTCTAGCTACCATGTCCATTCAGACCTCAGAATTGGAGATTTGAGTAGAAATAACAAGGTACGGAAATATTGCCAAGGAAAATGGGGACATGAAAGTTCTAGACAATAGGGTAAGACTGCTAGGCATTGCTAAAGTCTGCTTGAGATACTGCCGACCGTGAGGGCTGATGATGACCTTGAGTGAAACTCCTGTACTGGAAAAGCTTATCTCTAACCAGATTCAATTTCAAGAATGTAGCATCTGGGAAGGTAAAGAATTAGATTAGTCATTACATTAGTCTTTGACAAGAGACAATCAGGTAGTTTCCTATTTTTTAAACAGTCCCACACATGTAAAAAGATATTTCTGGTTTTAAAATATAAACTTCTATGGTTCCTGAAAATATACTTTGTAGGTTACCTCTGTGTAAAATCCTAATTATAGTCTAGCCCATATATATATATATATATTCTTTTCTTTTTTAAAGATTTATTTATTTATGCATACAGAACTGGGGTACAGGCCAGAGGTGCAGGGGTGGTGAGAGGATCCACCAGAGACAGAGTGGGGAGCAGTACACTGCTGAGGGGAGCAGCGGTCAGGAGAGGTCTGCCGCGCCATGTGGATCACTTCCAGGATGGGGATCGAACTCGTGCTGGAGTGGCTTTAGCTTCTTCGTGCTGTGCTTTAAACAACTGGGCCACCAGGGAGGGCCTATATATATATTTTCAATTGAGGTTCTTGTCATATTCTTATTGGTATCTGGAATGTCCTAGGTATCATTCCCTTTTCTGGGTTAGCCATAAATAATGTCTTCTAAACTATTATTTTTTTTTTACTAACTTTATTCACAAAATTCTTTGTCTAATGAAAAATATGTATTTTAATGTAATCAAAACCACTTTTTTTCCTTTATTACTTCATGGTATATACTTATTGAGTGCTATTTAAAACAATCTTTCTTTACCCCTGGTTCACATAGATTTTTTTTCTATATTCTCTTCCTTTAACTTTATGCCTTTATCACAATGGGAAATCATTTTTTATGTGGTGTTAAGTAGGGGTCAGCTTTAGTCTTCTGTAATAATAAGCACACTTTCAAGGCCACCACAAAATTATTTACCTTTTTCTTAGTAGTGTGTATTGTCAAAATTTTTATCAGTTATTAAGTTTCTTTTCATACACTGATCTCTCTCTACTTTACAACCCACTTGTGTGTTCTTATGCAAAAACAAAACAAAACAAAGACACACACACACACACACACACACACAAAATACTTCCAAACTCACATTTTAACAACTACAGTAACAGGTTCAACATGTTTGAAATTAGATTAGGAACTCCCACTCTGCCAAATTTAACTGACGATGTAACTTTAATAGGTTAATAGATACTGAAAATAGAAAAAGAAAAGCAAAAACATTCGTCACCAAAATGTGCTCATAAGACAGTAATTCTCTTATTCACTTGCTCATTTATGCTACCAATGCATATTAGGTATCTGCTACATTCCAGGAATTGCATGGGACAGTGAGGGAGGTGCGAGGGTGACTCAAAAGAGACAGGTGACTGCACTCGTGAACATGTAGTCTTTGGTGAGAAACAACTACTAATCAAATAATTTCTCAACACTGTTAGTGAGCCAAGTGCTCTAAAGCGGCAGCTGTTTAATGAGGAAGATCGGACCTGATCAGGGAGGATTTGACTTGATAGGGCAGAAAATAAAGGCTGATGCTTGTAGGAATAGAAGAAGTTAATCAAGCTAGAGCGACTACAAATGGTTCCAGGCAGCAGAGAGAACATGTCCAACGCACTGTGGGAGGAGGAGCCTCCACAGTGCAAAGGTCTGCAAAGCACGTCTGTGTTTGTGTGCGCAAAGAGAACACAGCACAGCTTGCAGCCAAGGAGGACGTGGTAGCCATGGCCGTCAAAAAGTCCAAAGCAAGTGTATACGACACTAGGTTTTCTCACAAAACCTTGCCTTTATTGTCTCTAGGTCCATTTAAGAAGAGAGTAAGGGGCCCTCCCTGGTGGCGCAGCGGGTTAAAGCACAGCACTGAGAGCCTGAAGCCGCTTTCTCATGAGTTCGATTCCCGCCTGCCCCGGAGGTGACCACATGGCGTGGCAGACCTCTCCTGACCCGCCCGCTGCTCCCCTCAGCGGTGTGCTTCGTCGATCTGCCTGTTCTGCTCCCCACTCTGTCTCTGGTGGGTCCTCTCACCCTCCGCATCTCTGGCCTGTACCCCAGCTCTGTATGAATAAATAAATAAATCTTTAAAAAAAAAAAAAAGAAGAGAGTAAGAAGAGCGTGACATCACATCCATGAACATATTTAACAAATAACTTTTATATTGGTAATTTTCCATCCAAATAGAATGCGGTTTATGTTCCATGCTGTGCTGAATTTGATATCAAAGCAAACGAGTTGGCATGATGTGAAGTCTCCAGTGGAGAGTGTTTCTTGTTCTCCTCAGTTGTTTTAAATTTTTTTGACATTTCCCTTGAACACGTGTCCTGTATGTCCTGTACACCCATTTCCCAGTGCCAGGAACAGTGTCTGAGACATAGTAGGTACTTAAAAAATCCGTGTGAAATGAATAAATCAATAAAAGAAATGAAATTTTATAGTTTTAAGGATGTGTTCATTTCTAGCATGCCTGGAGGAGCACATGCCACTGGAATATATTAGAGGCCGTAGAACATGGTCGAACATCCCTGGTCATGTCCATAATGTTATAATTGCCTTGAAATCCATGTATTGGCTTTTTAAAATTGAGTGTATTAAGTGAAATAGTAATAATATATAAATAGTTTATTTCACATGCTAGCCCTTATTTTATTCAAAAACATTTTTCAAAATGCACCTGGAAATGGAGCTTGATTAGTATGCTCATTTTTTAAAAGATGTATTTATGGGGTACAGGCCAGAGGTGCAAGGGCAATGGGAGGATTCACCAGAGACAGAGTGGGGAGCAGAACAGGCAGTTCAACGAAGCACACTGCTGATTGAGGGAAGCAGCAAGTGGGTCAGGAGAGGTCTGCCACACCATGTGGGTCACCGCCGGGGTGAGGATTGAACTCATGCTGAAGTGGCTTTAGCTTCTCAGTGCTGTGCTTTAACCTGCTGTGCCACCAGGGAGGGCCCAGTATGCTGTATTTTACTGAGACCAGTTTTGAAAAACTGAATTTTAAATTCCAGATACATACATAATATGAAAAAATTAAGCATTTTTTAATTGGACAATGTAGCATCTAAAAGTGTTTCTTCCATTACTAAAAGATTCTTTCCTTTAAAAAATTGGTCCAATTGTCAGAAAGCATAAAATAAGCATAAATTGTGGTTTCTCATCTTAATATTCCATATTTATTTATTGCATCAAACCAGGCCTGGAATCCTTTTGAGAGGGAGGGCATTGAAGGATTTGGAATTGGCAAACTAAGTAATAATTAGCCCTAGGATTAGCCTTAGACTGGGATGGGAGGAGAGGTACCAGATGAATGGGAATAGGGAGCTATCATAGTGTTATGTGGGTAGGTGATAGGAGGGGGCTGTATGAATGTGGAAATGAGAAATATATGGGCAGAATGGGGGCAGGCCAGAGGGACACCAATATTAACTAACACTTTGGGAACAGTTAGAATATGAATATGCCAGGCTTTCTTCTAAGTGTCCTTCATACATGTTATCATTTAGTTATGCAACAGCTCTGAGAGATAAATACTTGAATTGTGTTGATTTTATTGTGATTGTTAAATGTTTTCTTCTTCCTTTTCACCTATAAGGTAACTAGACAACGTTCATTAACTTTCTTTTTCTTTTAGATCAGCTTCCCTTCCTTTGGATTCCATTCTTTTATTTTTTAAAGAATTTTTTATTTATACATACAAGAGTTGGGGTATAGGCCAGAGGTGTGGGGGGAAGTGAGAGGATTCACCAGAAAAAGAGTGGGGAGAACAGGTTGCAGCTTGATGAAATACACTGCTGAGGGGAGCAGCAGGCAAGACAGGAGAGGTCGGCCGTGCCATGTGGTTCACCTCCAGGGCTGGGGATCAAACTCACACTGAAGCTAGTTTGCAGCACTGAGCTTCAACCTGCTTGCTGCACCACCAGGGAGGGCCTGATATGCCACCATTATTTCTCTATTTTTTTTTTTTTTGCCAGGATTGCTTTGGCTATTCAGATTCTTTTGTGGTTCCATATGGATTTCAGTATTTTTCATTCTATGTCTTTGAAGAATGCTATTGAAATTTTGTTAGGGACAGCTTTGAATCTGTATATTACTTTGGGTAAGACTCCCATTTTGACAATATTTATTTTCCCAGCTCATGAGTAGAGTATATCCTCCATTTTTTGGTGTCTTGTATTTATTTTAAGAATGCCTCTTCTATATCTTTTAATGATGTTTTCTTTGTATAGGTCCTCCTTTCTTAAGAGGTAAATTTTAGTAGCCTCAGTCACCCAGCATGAAAAATTAAAATAGTTCAGACAAATTACTTCAGATAACCTTTCCACACTTTGCGGGAATAAAGAAAACATGAGCCACTCTTATGGCATTCGAGGTTAAAACTTAGGTAAAAGTTAGGGAATGGCCTATCATCATGGGCTATGATGACAGACTGAGTAGATGTCTAGAACCTGAAACTAGCATGCTTTGCTGTCTACTGGAAAGTTTCATGTTGAGATCATGATGTCATCCTTAGTAGGATGAGGTGTGTTCATGAAATCACTTCTGGAAAAACCTGGGGGTTAAAAAGTATGGATACAGAAAGATGTCAACTCTAGTCTCATGCTGATGATCCAGGTTTATTTTACTAGCAAAGTTTCAGTGATAAATTGTATGGAGAGGGAGGCCGCAGAACAGCTCAGTATGTCTCACTCACTAATAAAATGGAACACAGGACTACTGCGTATCATGTAAGGCATGTACTGTTGAAATTACTTTTAAAGTTCAGTATGTGTTCACTATTATAGTAACTTTGGATCTGTGCATAATGCTATTAGGATGGTACGTGTTTTCAAGAACTGAAATGGTATGGTCATGATAAGATTTTCAAACAGGTTTCTCCAAACAACAATGAGACAAACTAAGCGAAGTGGAACAGGCACATTTCTCCTTTGTGGTCGGGCTTCCATGGTTTAAGTCGGTAATTGAAAAGAGGGCCAGAAGAATGAGTCAGAATGCCCTGTCATTGCTTTCTGAAATGCTGAAAGCATACCGCTTTCATATTTTAATCTTCCAGGTTGAATGCTGCAATAAATCATCCAGTTTAAGCACACTTCAAATTAAAAGTAAATTTTATCCAATTGTATCCCATTGTTTTTCATTTTCCACCACAAAGTCTAGTTCTGAGAACTAAGAAAGAGTGACATTTTCATTAGATGTCCAGGAGTCCAATTTAGGAAACAGTTATAAAAAAAGTCAGTAGTGGGCTAGAACAGTGACAGGGGAGAACTTGGGCAACATCAGTAGCCCCCATTCAGTCAACTTCCAGCTTCTGAGGTAATTTCCCCTTGATTTTGCTTTAGTCTTGTAGCATGGATTCTTTCATTATTTGTTTATTGATTTAACTTAGTCTTAGCTTATGGTGTTTTCTTGTGTCCTGGACATCCTGGACATGAAACACACACACACACACACACACACACAAAATAAAAACCAAAGAAGGTCTCAAAGAAAGGTGTGCCCCAGATGGAATCCCTGTCTGAACCACCCTTGACTATCTGTAGTCAGTTCACTCCAGAAAAGAGTGTGGGAAATGTGAAAACTGCCTGAAGTCAGTCCTCTAACTGGCGGGCCTCAGGCGCCTGTGACAAGAAGTCCATTTCTTCTCATCTGTAGTCCAGGCTGCTCAGGCCTGACCCTGGGGCAGGGCCCACCGCCGGCCAACAGGTCAGAGCACAGGGCGGAGCGGAGCCTCCCGCGGCGGCGCGCTCGCTCCGGGGAATGAGTCTTTGTACAGTCAGGGCTTCTGCTGGGCAGGGCCAGCTGCTAATCCTCCAGGCGGACACCGGGGCGGGGAGGGGGCAGATGGGGCGCAGAGGTGGAGTCCGCAGCTGACAAACACCCTCGCAGGTAAAAGGGTGGCGGCGAGAGGGAGTTCCCACCTGTAGTGTTCCGAAAGAAATGAACACTTAAGAACATAGGAAGGAGGGGCCGCTCAGAGGTTTTCGGACGCGCCTGGGGCCCCACCCTCGGCCAGAGGAAAAGCCCCTTGGGTGAGAGGCAGAAGGTTCAGAGAAACCTGGAAGAAAAGCGACTCTGCCCGCGCTCCGCTCCCTCGCCTCGCACCCTCCCGCGCGCAGGCCCTACCGGGTCGCAGCCCTCCGCCCCCCGAGCGCCCCCATCCCGGCTCCCGGGACTCGGCCGGCGACTGCTCCCAGGGCTCCCATGGCGGCCGCCCGACCCACCCGCTCCCGGAGCGGAG